CCCCTTCCCCTCCCCCCCCAACCGTGACTCCTCCTCTTGTCTGCGGCGACTTCTCTTCTGAGGGAGGACCCTGCCTTCCTCTCTCTCCCCCTCCCTCCTTCCTCTTCGTCTCTACTTTCATACTCTACCTGATCTCTATCAAGTTCTCAGTCCTCCTTCCGAAGTTCACTCTTCCTCCCTATGTCCCCCTTCCTCCCAGACCTCTGTCTCACCTTTCATGCTCTCCTCCTCCTCCTCCTGCTCCTGCTCCTGCTCCTGCTCTGCCTGCTCCTCCTCCATGTGGTCCGGGCCCTTTTGAAGCCGCTCTCGAATCTTGATCAAGTTTTCCATCTGCTCTGCCTCCTCCAGCCTGACGGGCGAGGAAGTGAGACGACAAAGAGGAGGGGGGGAAGAGAGAGAGGAGGGAGGGGAGGAGGTGAGTGGGGAGGGGAAGGTGAAGCGAGGGGGAGGGGGGAGGGGGGAGGGGGGAAAGGGGATGAGGGAGGGGAGGGGAAGGGCAAGAGAGGAAGGAGGAGGAGAAGTCAGAGAGGTCCAGGAGGACGGTAGAGTCCAACTTACCTATCATTCGCTTCCATTTCTCTCATCGCACCATCTCCGACCCCGAAACCTGGAAAAAATTCTCGGTAAGAGAGAGGAGGAGGAGGTGGAGGAGGAGGAGGAGGAGATGGAGCAAGGAGGAGGGAGTAGAGAGGGAGGACGAGGAGGACGAGGAGCAAGGAGGAGGGAGTAGAGAGGGAGGACGAGGAGGAGATGGAGGAAGAGGGAGGAGGAAGAGGGAGGAGGAAGAGGGAGGAGGAGATGGAGGAAGAGGGAGGAGGAAGAGGGAGGAGATGGAGCAAGGAGTGACTGAAAGTCAAGATGTTGCCTTGAACGACGTCATGGAAGTGTTCGGGAAGTAAATCCTCTCCCGTCACTGGATGCCTCGCCTGCGGTTGAGTCACACATAACTTATGGAAGTTTGTTAGATAGATAACGTGATGAAAGTTTGTTAGATAGATAACGTGATGGAGGTTTGTAAGATAGATAACGTGATGAAAGTTTGTTAGATAGATAACGTGATGGAGGTTTTGTAGTTTCACCTGTTCGACTCCTCCTACAGTTTTGAGGTATTTGATGCCCCTCCTCGCCGCTTCCTGATGTTCTGAAGTCAGAGGAAGAAGGAGGAGAGGAAGAGGAGGAGAAGGAGGAGGAGGAGGAGGAGGGAGAGGAGGAGGAGGAGG